TTGTGTTGCATCTGGTTATTTACTGTGACAAGGTGGTGCGACTGGTCCAAAATTGTCAGAACCAGTGTCGCAAGGGGTAATTTTGACAAGACGGTGGACGACGCCATTTTGTGAAATAGCAGCACAAAGGGTGAATAGGTCGAATTTATGGTAAATTTACATGTAAAAACATGTGCCCGATCATCACAATGCTCAAGTGGACAAAACGTACCTCCACGTACTCATGCCACAGCTGTTTGGTTCTTTCCGCATTCTTCTCAAAAGTCACTCGATAAAGTTGTTTGATTTGAACTTGATGTTTTTTTCAGTGATCCGCAATGTGGCATAATTCAATTCAAATTCGGCATTTCAAAGAATATTTACCCAGTTAGGTAATCTCATGCTTGATGAGTGGGTACGTACTCCAGAGGCCCAACTATTTTTATTAAAAAAAAAAAAAAAAAAAGTCACGCTTACACAAAATGTGCCCTGTAAACCTTGCTTGTACAATTAAAGGTTTTGCAAGAATGACAATTTCAAAAGTCCTCCACGACATCATTGTCTGACGCATCTCCTCGGGCACGTGGTGCGTGCGTGGCCACCACATGTAGAAAATCTTGCACTGAGAGAGCATGCTCGCGATAGCTCACATAATCAGCTGGAGAACATAATATACTGAAAGTACAAATACACAGCAAACAGAGTGGATATAGCGTGAGCCACAATGTCTGGAATATGGCTGCTCGGATGAAAACATGTGGTAAACACTAATGTGGAGAAGCGGCGCCGTGTGACTCACCTATCAGGTGCCGGGAGTCAAAGGTCACAGCTGCAGCTAATTTACATGCCAGGTTCTCGCACTGGCAACGTGTATGGGTGTTAATTTGACCCACATCCAGAGTGCACAATGTTTAGGTTCCCAGTGTATCAACCGAAAGTTATCAAAGGTGGTTTTTTTTTGGGGTTTTTTTTTTGGTCACATTCTACTCTTCCCCTGCATTCACTCACCACATTCCTCTTTCTTTTACACAAAGACGAACAGTTTGACATGATGGCAATATTTCCACTTTGGAATTTGATAACCTGCCGTTTTAATGAAATGCTCCGAAGCTTCCAGAAGAAAAGCTTTCCTTTGGGGTACTTAAAATGACCGAGCGTCTGAGTGCACCGTTATTACAAGAGGTCTATTCACGTGGCTCCTGCTGAGGACATTGAGTTACAATGCGTATCCAGCCGGGCAAAAAAAAAAAAAAAAAAAGTGCTCTGGCTTTCAACGGTCTTAATATCAACCTAGTTGATGGTAAAAAAATATTAGAAATAATTATTGTAAAATAATTCTGTAATATCATGACTTCAATAATGTGAAAACTTGAGTTTGTTCCTGACTTCATTCGAGTAACTTTTTTCCTACAGAATTACTTTTTATTAAGTTATGATATTGATTGGAAGTCTTCTAGCATCATTAGTATTTTGTCTTTTCAGAGAGGCCCTAATATGGCTTTGTACAATAAAATAACCTTTCATTGGAGGAATTCCAATTTATACTCATTTTACTTTAGTCCTAAGATATAACTTGCATTTCACTTTACATTGAATGGTGTAGTGAGCGATGTACTTCTTTTGCCGTTTTACCCCCTCCACCCAAAAAAAAAGTATACATTTCGACAAGACAATAAAGAAAGAGTTTAGTCATAGAGGGTGAACGGTTTGAGGCCAGTTGTGAAAGCATAAAAACACAGGTGAGCCCTCATCAACATCCATTCATCACTGCCCACACCGTCACGTTCAATACATGATAAATAATAATTCTTGCAGAGTACAAAAAAAACAACAACCCATCAAATATTTAGCATATCATCCTTAATTGAACATATATTTCTGTTTCATTTTTAAAGATTTTCTTATGAAAGTATTTATAGTTGTGACATAAGTGTGACAATTGAGCACGTGGTGGTGCAGGCGACGAAAGTGAATGTTCTAGACAATGTTCTGCAAACCACTGTGACAAATGTGAAGGAATGCTTAAGAAGATCCATCCAGTCATTTTCTATGTCACTTGCCCTCAGTAGGCTAGCGTGAAACTGGATCAGTTGAAATTCGCCGAGAGACGGCGTACACCCTCAACTGTTCGCCAGTCAAGTCATTTGCAGTGACAACACAACTCCACACAGAGATGTTCCAACAGAGACTCAACTCCTGACTGTGAGGCAGATGTAGTAGCCACTCGTTCACCGTGTTGCCACTCACGAGGAGGTAAGGTAGAAAAATCAAATAAAAATGTAAAAAAACAACAACAACAAAAAAGCCTCAAATGATTTAGCAGTTCCGTAGCACAAAGCACAGCAGGGAATGACACGTCATCAGAGGTCACAGTAAAGACTGATTTGTGCTTGGCTGCTGGTGACGGGTCGGGGGGCAGGGCGGAGGGGCCGGGAGGTTGTCCCTGTCCTGGAATAGCTCTCCTGGCCTGGAATGTTTTGGGGAATGTTCGGCAAGAGGAATGATTGGTCAAGAGGGGAACTGTGTGTGTGTGTGTGTGTGTGTGTGTGTGTGTGTGTGTGTGTGTGTGTGTGTGTGTGTGTGTGTGTGTGTGTAGAAGTAGCAAAGGTAATCAGTCAGTCATGGAATCCGTGTTGAGGGCGAGTGGGGACAGATCAACCATTAGGCACGTTTTGGGTACATCCTCTGTGTGTTTGGAGGTTGACAACTAAGCATGCGGGCATCTCTGCCCCGCGTCGGACCTCTCAGCACCTTATTGTTGTGCCTTCTGTCACCTTTCTGTTTTGAGTATTTGTCTGTGTCATGTGTTGAATCGTCCTTGCACTCCTGGCTTTGGGAAAGCAGGATTGGCTCGTCCATTCAATAGCCCCACAGATTCAGATTCAGATTCAGAAAACTTTATTTATCCCCGTGGGGCAATTAGAGTTGTGCGAGAGCGGCTTATTGTAGAGACAGTAGGAGCAAGGAAAGACATAGGATAAGAGTAGCTTAGCAATAAGAGTAGCTCAGACATCCAGCCCATTAGCCCTCATGCTCTGTAGGTTGACCTTTGAACCTCAATCCCCCAGTCCCATATTTGACCAAAACAGCCTGAAAGGGCCATGCAAGGTCAGCATTTTGATGGGTCATTGCAGGCTATCAGCCGCTATCTGTGTGTCTGCCAATGAGTGGGGACTTACCAAGGTCTGCAAACATTTCTAGCTTACATGCACAGGGGCCCAAACAGCCTGGGGACGGTCACAAAATTGAAGCAAAATCGAAATCTGGGAACACACATCCCAACATTTAATATCTTAAAAGTTTCTTCTGTTGTCGAGATTACAAATACTGTACACAACACACATTGCCACTCCTCCTTCAAAACAGTTGTCGAACGAAGGCGGACCTGTAAGAAGAAGGCTAAAGGGAATTTTCAAATGGAGCTTTGCTTCTATAGCTTTAATGTCCCACTGACTTAACCTTCAGCAGCTTGTAAAGAAATAAGACACAGTTTGATGTGCCTGGAAGTGAGACATTAAGAGTCCAGAAGCGATGGCATGAGGCTCTCACGGCCATGTCCGCTGGAAGTGACGGCCCTCCAAGATTCCCGTGTTAACCTCTGCTTCTTACTTTTGCTCCCTGCCCAGAAAACCCAAATCTCTGCCATAACATCCCCAACAGGCGGACTACTCCCTTGGCCTTGTTTGCTCAGCTGCACTGGCTTTGTGTCGGCGTGTTGGGCTCCCTTGTTCCCGCTCCCCGGCAGTTTTCTCCCTCTTTTTCTGTTTGATTTCTTTTCTGCAAGCAGTTTGTAGCCTCAGTTGCTCTTTGTTTGGTCTAAGCCGAGCCCGTCTGACCATTTTAACTGACAGCCTTGAGGTCAAGAGGTTGACTCGAGGCGGCTACCTGAGGAAGTCTCACGTCTTCCACCTCATAGTGTCACCTTTGTGTCAAGATGTACAGTCGTCATGTAAACACCTCTGCTTGTGTTTGGACTCTGCTCACTTTGACTCACTGCAGCGGGAAACTTGCCGTGCGCTAACCAGTCAAAAAGCTCAAGTTTGGTTAATGAACAACTACTTCATAGCCTGTGACCGAAATGTTTTCACAGACTGTCTCATAAAGTCAAGTGCATGTCTTTTAAAGTGAGAACAAACCATTATTGTCACCTGAACCCAGCAGCCGAGTTCAGTCTAGTGACTGACAGTCGGTGGAAGAGCAATTCTGCACACCGTGGTGCCCATGTCTGTCTGCTTTGGCTGAGAAAAGTCTCACCAAACTGGGACGAATCATAACATCAGACCACCGTACCAACCGCTCACCAGAACATTGTGAAACCTATCAACGACTGCCAGTTCATGCCGCGACTGCTTGGATCCAGCAGTTTCAGGTCAGGAAACAGCAGTCTTTTCCAAGAGCTCAGGGTGCCCAAAGAGCACACAATTACGCTAACTTTAAACTTGAAATATAGGCAATTACAGTATAATCACTTTTCGAGTAATGTCAATTTTTTTATTTATGTATTTATTTATTTATTTATTTACAGAAATTGACTATTTTCAGTCAGGCAATCCCTATAAATAGTGGGGGTCCACTATATGGCTTTGATATGGGGGCAGTTTAAAATAGGGCTATGCAAAGCTACGAAATTCACAGCACATTGAAAGAATGAATTGGAACAACACAAGCAAACACACAACAACAATGGGTGAGGTGACAGATTTGAGTTGGTAGTTGGTATGACTAATGGCAACAAAAAAGGAGACTATTGTCTACACAACTAACTACAGCATTAGTGTCTATTTTTGTCATTTGAAGCTGTGTGTCCTGAAGTATGACGATGACATGCTGGTTAAGAGTCGGCTTGATCAATGGGCGACCAGAGGTCGTTTCCATCACCCATATGGTATTGGCTCTGGCTGACCAGGTGGAAACAGTACATCATTGTACCTAATATTACCTGCTTTTGTACAGCTCTGGTCAGTCGAACGGGTACCCACCAATGGACAAAAAAAGGTCATAAATAAATGAATCCATCTAACCTGCAAAGACGCGTAAACGTTTGCGTCGTGGTGGTGGTCCCAGGCCCGACATGCCAGTGCACTCGTCCTCATCATCACAGTCGCCGCTTGGGAATCCCTCGTCGCCTTCATCGCTCCACCCGACCACCCCATTTGCGCGCGTCCGGGCCCTCCAGCGTTTTTCAGACACTGTTACATGACGCAGCAACTATGGAAGGAACAGAAAGTGGCGAAGCCAATCAGCGCATTGACAGTAAAGCCAGTAAAATGCATGATGTTCATTCAAGGAGTGACTAGAATGAGCCACATTAGGATTTTATTTTGTAGGGTATGAATCACCGAAAGCAACACCAAAATCACTCGCAGTCTGCAAACAAATTGTTATCCATGCATCCATCCAGGGACGTAGCCAAAAGTTTTTCAGTGTGGTGGCCAGGCCACGGGTGGCCGTGTGTGCATCTGTGATTCTTTATCATACACTCCATAGTCAGGGTTTCATGGAATAAAATTCACACATACCAAGAATCTCAATGTTACCTCTTTTCCTTAGATTTGTTCCTGTTTATATTATGAGTGTGTGTGCAAGACTTGTGTGTGTGTGTGTGTGTGTGTGTGTGTGTGTGTGTGTGTGTGTGTGTGTGTGCATTTTACTTCATAAGACCATGACTGTGGATAGTATGATAAACCATAAACCATGACTTCTCAGCCATAATGTTAGCTTGACTGACATGGGGTGGCCATGGCCAAACCTGGCCGCTCTGTAGCTCTGACCCTGCATTCATCACCCATTTTCAAAAGCGCTAGTCCTCATCAGTGTTGCGGGTGTGCTAAAGCCTATCCCAGCTGACTTCAGGCAAGAAGTATTATCGGGTTCAATGTCTGTTTTTAAAATACGGGAGGAATGTGCTGTACTATGAGAAAATCCACAAAAACATGCAAGCTCCACACAGGAAGACCGGAGCCAAAATCTGAACCAAGGAATTATGGACTTGAAGATGACATACTTACTCCTCCATGTGCTACTTACACTGTAATTATATATACCAAGTATAAATTTTGTTTCATTATCTATGTTAGTATTTTGATGACAAGAAAATCATTCAATAATTCGCAATTTGTCAACCAATCAAGGTGCTTAGACGTGACCTCTTTGTTCTACCTGAATCTTGATTCGTCATTTACCAAGATAACTTGTGGCCATGCTGTGTAAATTCTCTTTCGTCACATCAGTTGTCACAGCAGATTGTAAGCATGAGTTGGCCTCTTGGCTGAAAAGCAGCTTAACTCGGATACTTGCCAAGAAATATACAGAAGCTCTTAATATGTTATGCAGAACATAACGGAAGTGTCTTACTGAGCACTGTGGCAATGCAATCTCAGAAAAAAAGCGCAATTGTTCACATTTATTGCGGTGTGTAATTCCATTCTTAAAATCATGTTAAACATCACAACTTGAAAGGGGGAAACATTCTTACGATTCATTACCAAAGGATGAATGGGGCTGGGGGGTAGGAGTTCATTCTTGTACCAACTGGTGAAAAAATGTGAGTGAGTGCAGAGACGACCTCGCTTGTCGTGCTCTGACCATCTTTCAGCCTCCTTAACATTGCACATGATTGAGAGCCCTGCCAAGCTCGCAGATGTGCTAAATTCCAACTGCCTGCCTCGCGAGTTCCTCCTTTCATCTCGCCGCTCTGCCTCCTTGTATGCTTTTTATTGAGTTCCTTCTATCTGCATACGTCAGCGCGATTGTTGTTGTGTTCGTTGTTTAGGCTTTCTCTGGGAGAAAATGTAGTTCATATGTGCTGTGTCTCCGGTCAGCTGTGATTGGACTTTGTGTTTGTGTGCGTGTATAAGCAATAGACAGAGACAGCTGAAGTATAAAACTCTAATCACAAACTGATGTCAGTCTGAGGATAAACAAACCCGTTCTCTTCCTTGCCATACAAACTCGTCGGTCTGGGTTTTACAAGTGACATCAACTCAAGAATTCAGACAGACGCAGCACACAATCACTTCATTTCACTATGCCCACGGAAAGAGACCTCAATTTATATCCCGACACGATAAAAGAGCAAACTTTTCTAAAAGGCTATTTACATACACATTAGGATGGACAAGCAGCCTTCTACGGGCAGAAAGGACGATACATAGGTGAGACAAGAGGTGTCACTTGAGAACAAATTCTCTCAATGATGAGTGGGAGTTAAATGTACTAAACGGACTCCTTTAAGGCAGGACACTGTTTGTACACTTTGGCCAGAGTCCTCCACAGATTTACTGACTTGGAGAAATTTCTTCTCATCGTGCCTAGCAACCTGTTTGGACTTTGTGAGGGCCCCTTGTAGCCCATCTAAGGCAAACAAAACACTTGAAAAGAGGCACAATGATGCAATGGTTCAGGAGAAATTAGGGGGGGGGGGGAAACATGACAAAAAAAAAAAGAAAAAAAAACCCACAAGAATGGCAGAACTGCCCCAATGTGAAGTTGCGCAAGCACCATTAAGAGTAACTGATCACCTGCAAGCAAACACACCTTAAGACAAACACTCCAACTGCCATTTGACTAAATGCTCACGACGAGACACGTCAAGTGTTTATTTTGTCTTACAGGACTCAATCTGATTTATATGACATTGTCAATCAAAACTAAACTTGGTAAAGGTAGAATTGTTGATGGAAATGCTCACCATTTTGCATGGTCGAGGACTAAAATGCAGGGAAACAGGGAGGCAAGACCGGGGAGCATGAGGAATCTCCAAAATATTTATTCACAAAAGACAAAAAGGCAAGCACGGTGCATGGAATCAGAAAGACTATAGTATCAGAATAAAAAACAAAAACAAAAACAGGAGATAAATTAAACCAAAAACTGGGAGTGCATTGATCACACCTGGGAACAAGACAAGACGAGAACACGACAAGACAGAAACAGAAGCAACAGAAATAATCCGAAGAAGACGGGGAAGTGATGATAAATACCTCACACGAGTGATGAGAGGGAACCGATTGGTCGAAACAAGGGACCGGGCTCACGAGAACACGAGGACACAAAAATCTGATGACACAGACAAGACATGGAAACAGCGACAGGAAAATCTGACAAAACTAAATCCAAGCAAAACAAAATGAACAAAAACATATCGTGACAGAAATGACCTCAGTTCAACTCGAATTTATGTGTCGAGCATTTCCAAAAAAAAAAAACACTGCTCCATACCAAGTGCTGTAATGGAGTAAAGAAAGTGAGTAGAAAAACACAGCATAAACGTTTTGGAATCAAACATAAGACGTTTCTTTCAGTCCTACACAAGGAGAGCAACGTCAGTATCATGCCAGATATAAATACGAGCACAGGCACAGTGGCTGAGAAGTAAGATGTTTTTTCAAGAATTGGACAAAAACGTGGGCAGCATAATGATAGCAGTGGTGGAAGCGAGCAGTAGCCCTGCGCGGTGCCCTTTTCCACAAAGGGGTGGGCCTCTGGGCCTCTGTGGCAGGGCGCGGTGGCTTCTCCCCACCGGCTGCTGGCCTCTGCCTTGGCAGTGCGAGCAGGGGAGGGCTGGATTGTATGTTTGTGTCACAAGTGACGCGGCTCTTTTGGCATGGCTCGAACCGTGATCTGGAAGGAGCAATCGAGATTCACCACAAAACCTCAAGTTGCTTCACCAGGGACTTTCGTGGAATTAAATAAAGACAAAAACCCAAAGCGCAGAGGAGCATTGGGATAGATAAAAGAGACATTGTTGACAACTGCACAGTCTGTTTTCCATTAAAGCTAGTCTTTTTTTTTGTAAGACCCGCAGGTATGAGCCTCCAACCGATTGTGGGTTCAACTCCCCTTAGCGCAAATCAGACCGAGGAAATGCTCACTTTCCAGGGGCTGCGCTCAAAGTTGTGTGGAATCGTGCTGAATGCAGGCCAGCTCAGACAGAAACCCAGAAAGCACAAAGGGCTGTCACAGCCTCCCACACAGGACATGAACTCCACACGGGGTCACTGCTGGACACAACAGCTGCAAAAGAGCCACGGTGGACGTCCACTGATACAAATAAACCTGCTCCCACTGGTGGAATTTTGTCATTCATGCCGGCGCGTGAAAAATAGGAAGGACGAAGACGGAACAGAAACATGTATCATCTTGTGTGTGTGATCTCCACGGAGTTTGAACGAGCACTGTTGCAAGTGACAGACAGCGAGTAATGAAGACAGAACATGTTCGAAAAAAGGGTCTCCTTCTCAGGTCCTGTCTTATGTTCTTCTTCTCAATGCAGAGGACATGTCTGGACAAGAAGCGTATGACTCGGCCCAGGCGGAATCTGCTGCTCACAAAGTTTCTATCAATGCGTCAACACATCTTGTCTACAAATCTAATCTAGACAATTTGGGGCCCAACTTCCCCAAGAGACGATTGCTTTCCAGACATATCTATTTTTGCAAAAATCTTGGTTTCACCTTATCTTTTGGACCGTTTCCAGAATCATCAATTCGATCGCGAAAATCCCCCAAAACAGTTTGAGCTTTGAAATGAGCATGGAGTGTGAGTTAAGGCGGACTTTGGAAAATAACATCAGAACATTTCGTTCTTCATTGAGACTTAATGAAATCTAGCATCTTAATGTGACCATCTTTTCACCTTTCACTTTTTACATTTCACAGACAGTCATTGTTTTGGCACATCAACACTTGGGACTTTTTTTCATCATGTACACCTTTTCTGGTGTGTGGCCTTAATACGCCGAAGTAAATAAATATGTGGCAAGTTAGTACAAGGTTCCCTCTTGACATAGTCGTGGCGCATTAGGGATCATTACAAAATATTTTCCTTTACATATAAAACAGCCACCGTCAAGAAAATAAACAAAGATTTGTAAGACCAGTAGGTCAGTTGTGGACTTGCAAGACAAACAAACACCCGAAAAGCACCACCAATGACGAAATGGTTCATGGCATTTTAGGAAAATAACCTGAAAGATGAGAACACCAAAAGTAATTGTGGCCCTGCGTCGAATGGGGTTTGTGCAAACACAGCCATGTGTAACTTACCACCTGCCAGCACACACACCTCAGCACATAAACATTCAAACTGCCATCGTGACTGACTCATCAGACATTTCGTTCAGTATACCCGCACAATCTAGTAAGTAAAGCCCCCTCTGCTTAGCTAAACAGTGGGAGAGAAAAGTACATTATTTATCCGCAACACTA